AGTTCTTTTCATTCTTTTTTCTTTATTCTGCTCTGCAGTAGTTATTTCCACAATTTTAGCTTCCAGGTCACTTATCCGTTCTTCTGCCTCAGTTATTCTGCTATTGATCCCTTCTAGAGTATTTTTAATTTCATTTATTGTGTTGTTCATTGTTGCTTGTTTCATCTTTAGTTCTTCTATGTCCTTGTTAAATGTTTCTTGCATTTTCCCTATTCTATTTCCAAGATTTTGGATCATCTTTACTATCATTATTCTGAATTCTTTTTCAGGTAGACTGCCTATTTCCTCTTCATTTGTTTTGTCTGGTGGGTTTTTACTTTGCTCCTTCATCTGCTGTGTGTTTCTCTGTCTCCTCATTTTGTTTACCTTACTGTGTTTGGGGTCTCCTTTTTGAAGGCTGCAGGTTCGTAGTTTCCATTCTTTTTGGTGTCTGCCCCCAGTGGTTAAGTTTGGTTCAGTGGTTTGTGTAGGCTTCCTGATGGAGGGGACTAGTGCCTGTGTTTTGGTGGATGAGGCTGGATCTTTTCTTTCTGATGTGCAGATCCACGTCTGGTTGTGTGTTTTGGGGTGTCTGTGACCTTATTATGATCTTAGGCAGCCTCTCTGCTAATGGGTGGGGCTGTGGTCCTGTCTTCTAGTTGTTTGGCATAGGGTGTCCAGCACTGGAGCTTGCTGGTCGTTGAGTGGAGCTGGGTCTTGGCGTTGAGATGGAGATCTCTGGGAGATTTTCGCTGTTTGATATTACGTTGAGCTGGGAGGTCTCTGGTGGACCAGTGTCCTGAACATGGCTCTCCCACCTCAGAGGCACAGGCCTGATGCCCAGTCAGAGCACCAATACCCTGTCATCCACACGGAAAAAGAGAGAAAGGGAAAAATATATATTTATCGTTGCTCCCAATGTCCACCGCCTCAATTTGGGATGATTCGTTGTCTATTCAGGTATTCCACAGATGCAGGGTACATCAAGTTGACTGTGAAGATTTAATCCGCTGCTCCTGAGGCTGCTGGGAGAGATTTCCCTTTCTCTTCTTTGTTCGCAGAGCTCCTGGGGTTCAGCTTTGGATTTGGCCCTGCCTTTGCGTGTAGGTCACCGGAAGGCGTCTGTTCTTCGTTCAGACAGGACGGGGTTAAAGTTGCAGCTGATTTGGGGGCCCTGGCTCACTCATGCCAGGGGGAGGGAGGGGTATGGAGTGTGGGGCAAGCCTGTGGCGGCAGAGGCTGTCCTGATGTTGCACCAGCCTGAGGTGCTCCATGTGTTCTTCTGGGGAAGTTGTCCCTGGATCACGGGACCCTGGCAGTGGCGGACTGCACAGGCTCCCCGGAAGGGGGGTGTGGACAGTGACCTGTGCTCACACATGGAATTCTTGGTGGCAGCAGCAGCAGCCTTAGCATCTCATGCCAGTCTCTGGGGTCTGCGCTGATAGCCGCGGCTTGCGCCCGTCTCTGGAGCTCCTTTAAGTAGCACTCTTAATCCCCTCTCCCTGCGCACCAGGAAACAAAGAGGCAAGAAAAAGTCTCTTGCCTCTTCGGCAGCTCCAGACCTTTTCCTGGACTCCCTCCCAGCTAGCTGTGGCTCACTATCCTCTTCAGGCTGTGTTCACGCCGCCAACCCCAGTCCTCTCCCTGCGCTCCGACCGAAGCCCGAGCCTCAGCTCCCAGCCCCGCCCGCGCAGGCCGGTGAGCAGACAAGCCTCTCGGGCTGGTGAGTGCCGGTCGGCCCTGATCCTCTGTGTGGGAATCTCTCCGCTTTGCCCTCCGCAGCCCTGTTGCTGTGCTCTCCTCCGCGGCTCCGAAGCTTACCCCCTCCGCCACCCGCAGTCTCCGCCTGCGAAGGGGCTTCTACTGTGTGGAAACCTTTCCTCCTTCACAGCTCCCTCCCACTGGTGCAGGTCCCGTCCCTATTCTTTTGTCTCTGTTTTTTCTTTTTTCTTTTGCCCTACCCAGGTATGTGGGGAGTTTCTTGACTTTTGGGAGGTCTGAGGTCTTCTGCCAGTGTTCAGTAGGTGTAGGAGTTGTTCCACGTGTAGATGTATTTCTGGTGTATCTGTGGGGAGGAAGGTGATCTCCACGTCTTACTCTTCCGCCATCTTGAAGCTCCTCCAGTAGCCATTTCTTGAGGAAAGAACATAAGCTAGCGTTTGAAACCTATCTTTAATCATCCTTGTATTCTGTTCTTGAGCCAGTTTGAGGCAAATATAATGAAGCAGGTTCATATAATTTGATGCTAATAGGCACACTGTTTTAATACACTGTCTCCACACACAATTTCCACAAAGGAAAGCCACTAATTCTTTGTTTATAAACCTCTTGGGTCCGGAGAATTCACAGTAGTGAGGATGTTGATGAGATCAACACAACCATAACAAGCAGGTTTTCTAAAAGTTGACCATAGTTTTAAGGGAAATTAAAAAATACATTTGGGGAGAATTTTCTCAAGTTTACACACTACTTTTTAAAATTGAAGTGACTTCTTAAAAAACCGTCCTCATAATAACTTATACTTATGTAGTGTTTTATATTTTAGAAGTAATTTCATATACATAATCTCATTCCGAGCTGTCCCATATTATAGATGAGGAAGGTAAGTCCCAGAAAATGTGGATAACCTGCCCCAAATAAAACACCAAGCTAGAGGCAAAGCCAGACCACCACCCAAATCTCCTGGTTACAAGTTCAATGCTTTTTCTTTTTTTACATTGTATGTGGATCCTGACATTTTCTAGGAACTTCTTTTTGATTTTTGCCATCAATATAGTGAATTCTGATGAAATAAACGGACTATGTATATTTGGGCTGGAAGCCCTGCCTCACAGCCTCCTAACAGTGACGTCAGGCAGTGGGTAGGGTGATTAAGAGCATGGTTTGATTCTAGCACCAGACTGCCTGGACTTGCAATACTGGCACTTCCACTTGCTTACTGTGCGGCCTTGGGCAAGTGCTTCAGTTTCACAGCCTGTAAAAGAGTGATAACAATGTGACCTACTTCATAGAATTGCTGTGGGATTAAGTGAGTTACTATTTGTAAAGCATTTTGAACCATGCCTGGGCACAAGGTAAGTGTGATGTAAATCTTTTTAAAATAAAAATCTGGTTCAATCCTATTATTTTATACCCAAAGTCCTTTTTCAAATCACATATTGTCATGACCCATATTCAATTTTCATTAAGTCTATTTTACTGGATATCAGTTACATGTAGTACTATAGAAAAGAAATAGTATGATTGATAGGCTTCTCTCTGTCCTTGAGGCGTTTACAGTCTGTAGAGAGATGGAACAAAGTACATAAAAGAGCCCGGAAAGAGCACTTCCTTGTTTGTTACTGTAGCAAATATGAGGAGGGAGACCAAAGGCTCTGTGGCTGTTAGGTTTCCAAAGTAGGATTCTTGTTTCAAAGAATCATTATGTTCCAACCAATAACTTGCTTTCTTAAGTCCTGCATCATAAACTCCAGTGGGCTTGTCAGGCCCTGGGAGAGTGTGTGGAGGGAAGGAGCAGCAGCCCCTTCTTGCTGAAGGGCCACTCAGAGCCACAGCCTGGTCTTCCATCCTGCTTCTCCGTCTCTGGGACACTATTCAAGTCTCCAAAACTTGAAATAGGGGCCAACAATGAAACTGTTCACCTACCCAAAATTTTTTGTCCCTTATATTCAAAGTGAGAGAGGCCAAGCCTCTAGGTGCCCAAGAAAGCAGTGATGCCAAGTCAATTAGCAGAATTTCTAGGGCATAGAACTACTATTACTTTCCCACTATGAAAAGTTAGTAATGAAAATTAATTTCCCTTCCTCTCTGTAACCCTTTGTAATTAATATCATCCTTTTGGGGGATTTCTGAGGAGGATGTACGCCTGTGGCTTGGAATTGTCTGTGCAAAGCTAGCTGAAATATTTAGGGACTGAGTTTGCGTTGTGGCCTAAATATCTGCCTTCTGTATTAGTTGAACTAGATAGAACTATCTATTGATTGATATGTACTGACCAACAGATAGAACTAACTAAATATATAAAAGGTAATAGGTCACTGATACTATGTGGTCCTATATAACTTAGGTGCTGTAATATTTTTCAAAAACTTGATGCAAAACTTGAAAACCAGGGAAACAAAGTTAATTTTGTTATTGCTGTTTTAGAATTAAATATACTGTGACATTACCCAGGCAGGCTCACAAACATTTATAATTGTGTTAGTCCCATATTTCTGTGACAGCTTAATCCATAAATATTAAAAAGACACTTAAAGTATCTTTATACTTAAAACATTAAAATATAAATTCTTTATTCTTTAACATGGAGATGACAAGATGAGTGCCTTGTCATCTCCACGTTAAATTTTGTTCATACCAATTAAATAATTTAGGTGCTATCTGAATAAAGACCTTGGTCTAAATGTCTATTTGGTAGAAAATTCAGATTGATGGGTTCTATTGGTATTTAGAAAATGATATTCCTATAGCCTCAAAAATCAAAGGTTAAGAATCACATTTGCATCAGTCCACACCAACTAGGATGGCTATAATTGAAAAAAAGGAAAATAATAGGTGTTGGTGAGGGTATGGAGAAACTAGAACTTTTGTACATTGCTGATGAGAATGCAACATGGTACAGCTGTTGTGGAAAAAAGTGGCAATTCCTCAAAAACTTAAACATAGAATTGCCACGTGACCCAGCAATTCAAAATAATTGAAAATAAAGACTCAAACAGACACTTGTACACCAGTGTTCATGGTAGCATGATTCACAATAGCCAAAAGGTGGAAACAGCTCAGATGTCTCTCAACAGAAGAATGGATAAACTAAATGTGATATATACATATAACAGAATATTATTTAGCCATAAAAAGAATGAAGTTCTGATACATGTTACAACATGGATGAACCTTGAAAACATTATGCTATGTTAAATAAGCCAGACACAAAAGGAGAAATATTGTATGATTCCACTTACGTGGAATATCTTGAATAGCAAATTCATAGAGATAGAAAGCAGATTGGAGGATATGAGGAGCTAGGGGAAGGGGCGGGGGGTAGGGGCGTGAAAGAGGAGTTATTGCTTAATGCGTAGAGTTTCTCTTTTGGGTGATAAAAAATTTTGGAAATGGATAGTGGTGATGGTTGCAAAATATTGTGAATTTAGGTCATGCCACTAAAATGTACGATGAAAAATGGTGTTATATGTTATATATATTTTACCACAATGAAAGTAAAAAAAAAAAATCACATTTGCAACATCACCCATCACATTTTACAGCCCTTATAATATTCATAGATCTAACTATAATACAGCCCAGGTGTCTCTCTAATATAGGGACTATATTATACAAGAGTTGAGGGTCTGTCTCTGGTGATATCATTGACTAAGAATCCATTCTTTTCTCTGGGATCCAGAATTTAAATATTGGCTTCTGAATTTAGGTTTTGTGTCCTTTCTTCCGAAGAATCTTCATTGAATGTTGACTCAAAAAGAGCAAGAACAGACTTCTTGAAAACCTTTCTGAAGTTCTCCCCAGTAAATAGGTAGAGTGTGGGAGAAAAGACAGTATTGAAAGAAGTAGTTATCACTGTGAGTATCAGAGTCAACTGGAAAAGTAGTGATCTGTTCTTAGTGAGAATTAAACCTTGGTATACATGGTAGGGCATCCAACACACAAAGAAAGAGATAACGGCAGTCATCATGACTTTGAAGGGCTTGTTGGATTTGAAGAGGCTCCTCTCTTTCATCTTTTTGGCTACTCTTTCATAACAAAAGGTGATGATGAGGAAAGGCAGAAGGAAGCCCAGCAAGAAGCGGCTGCTGAAACAGGCTACATGAATCCATTTTCTTAATGTTTGCATCTTTTTGCCTTCCCAGTTAGTAGACACAGCATAGTTATTCTGGCAGGTCACTCTTCCGTTATGGTCATCATGTACCTCCCTGAAAACCACATAGGGCATGCTGAGGGCAGTGGCAAATATCCAGACTCCCAAGATGATGCCGGAAACCCAGCGTGGGGTTCGGTGCAGCTGTGACCACACCGGTTGAAGAGCGAGAAGATAACGATCAATGCTGATGGCTGAGAGGAAGAAAACAGAGGCAAACATCCCTGCAGACAAAATGCTATTGAAGACCTTGCATGTGGCCATTCCAAAGCTCCAGTGATTTTCCTGAAGGTAGGAGATGGCCAGAAATGGCAAAAATAATGTTGAAATAAAATAAGAGAGAATGAGATGAAAATATAAGAGAGTATTAACAGTCTTTTTCATTTTGAATTTTAGCACCCATAGGTAGAAACCGTTGGTGATAGTGCCAATTATAAATGACGTGAACAAAAGAAGTGCAACAATCACTTTTGAGGCAGGTGTTGGAATGTGAATGCTGTTTCTTATTAAAGTAGAGACATTGAGCAGGTAATCATTAGAGTTGATCAGATCCATAATTGGAATGAGAAACTGAAAATAACAACAAAAAAGAAGCAAAAGAAATGGTTAAATATAGAAATTAATATAGTAATTTTTGCATATTCATAGTCAAAATGACAATATTTTTTAAATGACAAACAATATTTTTACAATAATGCAAATCAGATATTTTTCTTTTATTTTGTGTGAGGAATTAAGATCAGATTAATTTGAGCATCAAAAATAGAAATACTACAGATGCAATGAAATTAATGTGAAATAGAAATAAGTTTGGAATATTCTCACTTCATTAAGTAATTAATTTAGGCAGCTAAAAATATCCTATTTAGGGAATTCTCTGGCAATCCAGTGGTTAGGACTACATACTTCCACTGCATGGGGCACGAGTTTTATCCCAGGTCGGGTAATTAAGATCCCTTGTGGGGCTTCCCTGGTGGTGCAGTGGTTGAGAGTCCACCTGCCGATGCAGGGGACACGGGTAAAAAAGATCCCGTGTGCCACCTTGGCTCAGCCAAAAAAACCCCCCAAAACTTCTATTTAGACATTAACCAGAAGTCTGACCCTTCTTGATGGGCACAGATTCTTGAATAAGTCAATGAAGAATCAGTTTTACTTGACTAAGACTTGGTCAAGGCAATGTTAATAACGAAATTGAATAACAAAAATGACAACAATGGCTGCAAGTTAGTAATCATAGGGAGCTATAATTAGATTTCTCCCATGAGCTAATTATATATAGTAAATGCTATTACCTAGTATCCTAACACTCAGCACATAACAGTAAGAACTGATATTCATACAGGAGCCCTTCGGCACCGTAAGATTGTGAAGTACCTTCAAAATCATCAATGAAAGAGGAAAGTGTATGGTAGAATATAGCAGTAGTTCTTTCTTACTTGGGGAGGGGAAAGACAGAGAGGAGTCAAGGAACTGATATTTATCCAGTACTTGTTGTATGCAGGAAACTTCATATAAAAATAATTTCTTTTTTTCCATACAAAGGCAAATGTTTAAACAGAGGAGAAAGTGAGGCTTACAGGGGTTAAATTTCATATTCAACATCTCCCACCATACCTCCACTGTGGCAGGTGGGGAACCCAATAAATGTTTTATGTTACTTCTTTGAAAACTGGTAATTCATGTGTACTGTATTTTGATAACGCTCCATGAAATGGAGTATTTGATTATCCAAAATATCCCATTTCTTGAATAACTGCTCCTATAGTATTGAAAATATAAATGTGAGAATATTTTGGAAAATAGCTATTATAACAGTCACATCAACAGACTGTTTTTTGATAAACTGGATAAAGCAATGGAAATTACTAATGATTTTTTTCACTAATCAAAAACATCCTAAGAATATACAGAGAGAAGAAATAAAATAATTGCTATTGAAACCATAACAACCTTAATTCTGCTGGCTAAGGGAGTTGCAAAAATTTCCCCCGAAGTAGAAAAATGGTTATCTTCAGGAAGATATCTTGGTAGTCTGTTTGGGAATAAAAAGTGAAGTTTTGGGACATGGAATGGATAGGCAATGATGAGTGAAAGAGTGGGAGCCCAAGGAAGAGGCTGGGTGAAGGTCCTGGGACCATGAGAAGAGGGGGAGGAGGGAGTATGGTCTTCAGAGAGGGGCCCCAGGAAAACACAGCAGGAGGCAAGGAGGCTTGCAGAGGAGGAAGGGTCAATGAGATATTGAGAAGCAGAGATGACACGGGATTTAAAATAAGGAATGTCTAATATTTAATTTGAATCCATTTGTTATGGTTTGACATGGTGTAATGTCTCCCTTAACCTCATTAATCACAACTTCTTGTGTTGGTGGTTGCTCTGGGGAATGGAAAGAAAAGAGCTTGTGTTCCCTATTTGGGAAGGAGTAGGATGGAGAGAAGAGGCCAGTAGCGGGAGGTGAGATGTTAATGAGATGATACGGTGGAAACTGTATAGACATTGGGGCTTGAGTAGACAAGGAGAAACAAAATCCCACGGAGGATTTCTGATACTGTGTGTGTATGACCTGTGTGTGTCTATTTGTGTGTGTATATGTGTGTGTGTGTGTGTGTGTGTGTCTGTAGTCTGTCCATATATCTGTGGTGCATTTGTGTGTATGTATGTGCATATATGGTGTGTGTCTCTGTGGCGTGTGTGTATCTCTAGTGTGTGTATCTCTAGTGTGTGTATAAATTCATGGGGTGTGTGTGGAGCTGTGTGTGTGTGTATCTGTGATCTGTGCAAGTGTGGTGTATTTGTGTGTGGTCTCCTTGGTATCTGCGGTCTGTGTGTATCTATCTGTGCAGTGTGTATACGTGTAGTGTTTGTATGTCTGGGTGTGTGTGTGTATGTGTGTGGTCTCTCTGTGTATGTGCATACGAGAAACTGAATTATAGGGAAGATTTTATTAAAAATTGTGTGGCTGAGCTCTGTATAGAAGGGCATCTGAAAGTAATGCAGGACTTGAGCAAAAGCAACACTGGTAGTCGTTCTGAAGAGCGTATAAAGTTTCCTAAGAACTTTGATTTATTGCACATGACCAGGAGATTTCTTCATCCTTAAACATCTTTTAAAACAGTTTTGAAGTACTTGCTTATAAATTAGTGGGGCAGAACTGGGGCTCTGGCATCCCACAGAAGTGGGTTTCGATCCTACCTCTACCACTTAAACAGCTCTGTGATTTTGGACTCTTAACTCTGAGCCCCTTTCACCTTGTAAACCCCGGTGACTTTTTATGAGGACTAAGTGAGATAATGTATATGAACCACTTAGCTCCCTTCATGGCACATATTAGGCATTCAGGAACTTTTTACCCCTTAGTTTGCTCAACTTGTTTTGGTTTTATTTGGCCGCATTGGGTGGCATGCGGGATCTTAGTTTGCCCGACCAGGGATCGAACCCTCGAAGCCACACCGCCTGCGGTGAAATCGTGGATTCTTAACCATTGGACCACAAGGGAAGTCCCCTCGATTTGTTATATTAAGGCTAGCAAGAGCCTCATTTTGCCCTTTTAATGTCATATTTCTTTCCTTCCCAAAGCCCCCTACTGAATTCTAGAGTACCACCAGGGATTTCTGAAAAAATCTAAATGTTCATCTATAGGGGCAGAGGCTGTCAGATTTAGAGTTATTTTGAAACCTTGCTATAGTGACAGCTTTGGCACAAGTGGCTTTCAGGAAGCCCCCGTCTGGGCTTGGGGACATCGAGCTATTATGGGGGAGGGAACCACAAGAACCTCGGGAAACTGATCTGGAGAAAGCCTAGAGAATCTATGCAGATGATAGCTGTAGGATAAAGCTGCTTGCTCAGGAATCTTACCTTGGAGTTATATCTTCATGCCAGACAGTCTTGGGAAGGCCAGAGGGACTCTATATCAGCAATCTCCTCTCCAGGGACAGAGGCAAAAGTCAGTGACACTTTGCCTTCATCTCATCTGCCTTCTTGCTGATGCTACTCCCCAGCCTCGAGCCTACTATTTAAATATTCAGTGACTTGTTGTTTCCCTGTTCCTTTTTCTGCGGAATGTGTGCTATAGAGGCGTAGGTAGAGAGATGAGTACTTCTTCAAATCATTTCTCCATTTCAAGGAAAGATTACAAAAATTCCATAAACAAAGTTATTCTATTTAAGTTATTCTGTTTAAGTGCTGTTACTCCATAACAAAGCTTGTTTCCAGTGTTAAAACACTGATTAAAAATTACCTTCTCATATTTGGTCATCCCACCAGGCACCCACTCTGCCTCGATTCTAGCATGTTTGTTAGCATATGGATGCATGGTGTTGGGTACATAGGGAGGTAGTAAATATCAAGCATGGAAAAAATAAAATTTGGAAATGAGCTACCTAATCCTGCTGGAGAGAAAATGATCAGAAAGGAAAACTCAAATATCGAGTTTCACAGTGAAATGGAATGTATTATAACAGGCCCAAAATTAATCTTATTTAGTTTGGGAAGATGAAGACTGACGGGCAGAATGATCTGCATTTGTGTAGTTGTTGAGAATGGCTGGAAAGAGCACAGAATTGGTTACCATATCCTAGAAGACAATCGCATTATAAGAAAATCCTACAACACAGGTAATACATTTATGAATTGACTGAGCCCTACATTCTCTATTTTCCTCTCTCTAATCCACCTCTGAAATTTTTAGGATCAGCCTCTGTGCTGACCTCTGTGTCCTGATTTCTTTCCTGCTTGCTTTCCTCTTCATCTCTGCACCACCAATGGAGAAAATACATCAAAACTGCTGTGTGGCTCAGCAGTGAAGCTCAGGAATCTGTTATTTAGGTTAGACTTAGAATTTTAAAGCTTTCATTGCTACTGTAGCTTTTAAAAAATAGGCTTAAATTTTAGTTCTTAATTCATTTGGGGCTATGACCTTCAACCTAAGAACTGATCTTCTTTGCTTCAAGTTAAGGATAAGTTTTCAAACTTGCTACTGCCTTTTAAAAGCAATTTCTTGCCAGGTTTTCATACCCTTTGAGCTAATTCACAGACTTGGAACAACCTGAGATATTATTTGATCCAAACCCACTAATTTTGAAGATGAGCAAAGTGACACTTAGAGAGGTTAAGTGATTCACAGTAGGTTTTCACCAAGAAAAGAACCAAGGGCTCCTTCAGCCGCCCTATACTATTTCATTGGTGCAAAAGGGATTTGGATCAGGTTCTTCTTCCTCCCTCCTCCCTCTTATATTTCCAAACTCTACAACTAGTAAATTTTGTAAATAACAAATATATTTTGGACTAGTGTTTAATTCCCTACCCCCACCCTCCACCAAAATATGCACAAGGGCTAGTACCACAATTAGATAGCCTAAAATTTTGTTCTTCCATTACTCCCCTCAGAAATACTCTCACTAGTGAGTATTTTTATCTAATAGGTAATTAAACCAATGGTATTAACTCTGTTGAGAAAGACGTAGACTGTTTGAGGAAGGAGCTTCTCTTCTGTGGCTTTGGTGATATGACTCCATTCATTGTACTTTTCATATTTCAAAATAAGTCCAGTGGTTTCAAGAGAAGAATTCGT